GAGATCCCGCAGCTCTTCGGCGTGCGCAGAGTTTAACTCTAAAAATGTGGTTCTGCCGACATCGAGCAGAAACTCACGACTGTATGCGCGCTTAGAGACAGATAGACGCGACGAATACGTACAAAAACACTGCGACTCACAAGACAAAAAACACGAAAACACCTTTCTGTCGGGAGAGAGAGAAGCCGCAACGTGTGAACGCGCCGCCATCATTTTGCTGAATTTGGAATAGAACCATCACAGAAATTTCTAATGATTTCCACTAAAAATCGGCCTAACATTACAAACCATCAACTTTTAACCATTAAAACGGTTTTCTGTAGTGTTTTTTTTTTGGGACATATTCCATTATTGGTTTTAACAAGCCACTATAGAAGGTGACCAATTAGGCTACAGTGACTGACAGATTAGGATGACTAGACAACTAAAGAACAGATTGTCCTTTAAAACTCGCAGTTCCCATTCGCTATGTTTATGTTTTTGTTTTGTAAATAGATTATATTCCAGGACGAGACAGACTTGTTGCGTATTTGATGAGCCAGCATCTGTAAATTCTGTTAAAAATGGTTGTGTCAGACCTGTTCGATGCTTATTTGTGTTTTAGCATGTAATTTTTAAGAAAAATACAAAACGAAGTATTGTAATTGATAATGGTTATCTCTATAGCAAAAAAACCCCAACATATTTTAATATCAGTTAGCTGTTTTTGAATTGTTTGTAGCCCGTTATAGAAATAGTTATGGTGATATTGTTGTAGGCTACTTGATCTAGAACAACATGTATAATTATAATATGCAGTTCATAGTTTATGGCCTTATGTATGTTTTCTATTTCTTGTATTTTAAGATAACCTTCTGAAATATGACTTTTCTACTTTTGAACCATTTGTATAGTTTTAAGTTGACGAGTGTTCTGGAAATCTGACCTATCTATCAGGATGATCTACCCTCACTATATTAGGAGTGAAGTTAGGGTTGTAGGTTAGTCCAGCCTCGTAAAAATATGCTACCCATGGTGGCAGCACATCCATGCAGCCCGAGGAGATGTGCTACTTACATTTTTAACACATTTATTGGATGGTAGTACACGTTGTAATTTTATATATGACCTTTTTAACTTGCTCTGGATCCTGAGCAGGTCAGAACACCAAGAAAAGTCCTGGTTCACCGTATACTCTTATTAAAAATAAAGGTTCAAAAGGGGGGTTTTGTAGCAATGCAATAGCAGAACCATTTGGGTTCCACAAAGAACCTTTCTGTTAGCAGTTCTTAAAAGAACCATTTTTAGTGTGAATAATATTTCAATAATCTCAAGAACCTTTTGTGCAGTGAAGGTTCTTCATGGTTCCACATTAAAGTTATCTTCTGTGTTATTTGTGTGCTACTTTCTCTTTTCTAGGTCGCTCTGTCCTGGTGCTCACTATCATTGCGTCCACTCTTGGTGGCCTAGTGTTCGGCTATGAGCTTGGAATAATATCCGGCGCTCTGCCGCAGCTTCAAGCTCAGTTCTATCTGGGTTGTGTCCAGCAGGAAGCCGTGGTTAGCGCTCTTCTGATCGGATCATTGTCAGCATCTGTGATTGGTGGCTGGCTGATTGATGGTCATGGCAGGAAGACATCCATTTTACTGAGTAATCTCCTCATCCTGGGAGGCACCATTATCCTAACTACAAGCATCTCTTCTTTTTGGCACTGGTGGTTGGTAGGGCCATCATTGGTTTTGCAATGAGCATTTCTTCCATGAGCTGCTGCATCTTTGTCTCTGAGATGGTTGCTCCCGAACGCAGAGGGTTGATGCTTACTTACCCTGTACGAAGTTGGAATTACAGTTGGGAACTTGTTGGCCTATGCACTCAACTATGTTTTATCTGGTATCCAAGCAGGATGGAGGTACATGTTTGGACTTGCTATTATACCATCCCTCATGCAGTTGGTTTCCATTGGGTTTTTACCTCAGACAACCGGTACCTCTGAAAGCCTAGTAACAGAGGACGATAGCCAGCAATCTGATAGATTAGCAGGGGAAATATCGAATCCGCACCAAACAGAACATTTTTAATATACAGGTGCATCTGAATAAATTAGAATGTCGTGGAAAAGTTAATTTATTTCAGTAATTCAACTCAAATTGTGAAACTTGTGTATTAAATAAATTAAATGAAAACAGACTGAAGTAGTTTAAGCCTTTGGTTCTTTTAATTGTGATGATCTAATTTATTGAGATGCACCTGTAGCGTCTTTGACCTTTTCAAAACCAAAGACAACATGTGCAGAAGAACCGCCATTGGTCTTGGGCTGGTGCTCAGTCAACAATTCACAGGTCAGCCTAATGTCCTCTTCTACGCTTTCACCATCCTTTTCTCTGTGGGATTTCAGAGCAACGCATCTGCAGTTCTTGCGTCGGTGGGTCTGGGTATAGTCAAAGTCATTGCTACTCTGTTGGCAATGGTATGTTCAGACAAGGTTGGTCGAAGATCACTTCTGATTGGGGGATGCACAGTGCTGGCTATAGGATTGATACTTAATGGTTTGTTGTGCATATTGATACAACAAAACAGTGCACTTCATTAGAACCACATTCAAATTTGACCTCACCGGCTGAAAATCAAGAAAACGTGGGCATAAACTTGGTCAATCAAAGTACTCCATCTGCTGGACGTGAAACACATGATGCTTACGGAGATTCAAATATTTCTTCACACTCCGAGGACATGTATAAGTGGATTATTTTTATCTGCATGATGACAGTTGTGAAGTGCCTTCTCAGTCAGCTTTGGACCAAGTACGTTTTCTTGGAGTAGTACCATACATTTACTCTACGTTAAAAATGTAGCGTCACTGACAACACCAACCAAAATTGTCTATCAGTTTGAGTATACAGTTAAACAGCGATGTCCAAATAGCTGCTTGGTGCGCCTATTGGCACAGAAATTCCTTCATCTACCAGTATTTGATGCTACACAACAGCCAGTACTAATTGCATATTTGGTTCACACAGTGACATGGCTTGTGCTAAGTGAGATATTTCCAAAGGAAGTCAGGGGAAGAGCCTATTCATTCATCAACTGCTTCAATGTGGGGGCCAACCTCATAGTTACCTTTTCTTTCTTGAGTATAACAGGTATGCACAACGACCACGGCCACACACAAAGTCAGTCGTCATTATATGAAATGTATTTGCAAATAATTTTCAGCATATTTCAATGACATTTTTCATTCTTCTCAGATGTGGTCGGTCTATCTGGAATATTCTTTGTGTATGGAGTTATCGGAATGGCAGCAGTTGTGTTAATCTACATTGTACTACCAGAAACCAAAGGAAAATCTCTTCATATAATTGACAGAGAACTCTCTCAGACACGGTACGAGAACATATTCGCTGTTGTGACCAGAAAAGCATGTTTTTCCGTTGGAGTAAAGCAATTTGTTCAGAAGGAACTGGAATAGTAATGGACTCTGACTTGTGCTTGATGCAGTTCAGCAATATCTGACAACATCCAGTCAATGCATTACTCAAAATCTGTTCTTTCTTTTGGATTTATTCACAGAGAGGAATTCTGCAATATTTTCCAAAGAAGACATTTCTCCCCAGGGTATCAGAGAGTTCACTTGACAAGCACAAAATCATGACATGAAGCAGAAAGTTATGAAATGCCTCTGCTGATCATCAATACGGATCAATCTGTTCACTGGATAATATTGTTCAATGTTTTAATGATAATGGCTATCTATTTTTGTTTTCTCTTTTGTAGGAGCTATATGATTCACATGGTTGGTTCACATGCATGTGATATTTACTAGTGATAAATCTTTATGAAATCATGAAATACTTTTGTAATTATAATTTGGAATAAGTATACATACTTGACTCTTATTTTATGGCTTTTGTAGTGTGTGACAAAATCTATGTGTCAGAGCACATTAAAAATGTACAATTTAAACGATTAAAACATTGTTTAAACGATATGTGATGAGCTGTGGAATTGCACACAGAACAAATAAACAGAGATATAGAGAAATGTTAGGAACGTCTTACATTTTTCATGTAGATTTTTTAATAAATGAAATTTCTGAAATTGATATGTACTTCTATGCAGCTCAATGAAAAAAAAAACAATGCACTCAGAAAAGTAGGGCACAGTGCAAAATAAAACCCCTTTCTTATGAAATACATCATATTTATAAACACTATCATTGCTTTGCATGAATTTTA